GAGCCAGGGCTCAGCCCAGGATATTCTGCAAATATTGGGCAGTGTTCCCCACTGCCCAACAGTGGTGAAAGCCTAGGGAAAGCAAATGTAGCTGTGATCTGACTGTGATCTGACTGCATGAAGAACCGTAGTGCTACTGCCTGCTCATCAAATTAAGCAGGGGTGTAGCTCGCCCTGCTGGGGCCAAATCCTGCTGCTGGATGTCTCCCAGGTCTTGGGAGTTGCAATGAAGGAAAATRCAACCCGTAGGTTTTCTGAGCAGTTCTTTTTCATTTATACTGATAAAAATGAGAGAGGAATGCAGATCTTGCAGTCATGAACGCTTATATTTTCTAATCTTTTTGCTATCCCCTGTAAATATGCTCCAAAAGATTTTGGCGTCAGATGTGGAGTGAAAATGCATGCCACCAGGCAGATTTCCCTTGCATCAACAGTACAGATATGTAAATGATTCCCTTTCTGGACGGGTTTCACTCATGCAATCCATGCTTCAGCCTATGGGAAAGGAACAGAGCACAGTGAGACTGTTGCCATTTAGAAAAATTGTGTCTGTTGAGAGCGCTCAGAGCAGAGATGTGTGGTCACTTCAACACCTGCGTATCTCAGACATCTAGCAACATCAGTGCTGATTTCAAAAAGTATTTAGAGCTTTCCTCTTCCATCCTCCCCTCCATGTGCTGAAGAGGATCTGCATCCTCTTTATTACAGCAATCTTGATTTACATCAGCAGGAATTGGAGTCACACACACCTGACTTCAAAGCCTTCTCCCTGCCTAGGAGGTAGCTGCTGATAGAAGAAGATATTGGCATCTGCAGATCATAAGTGAAAGTCTGGTGAGTTGCCCAGACAGACACTAGATCAGTTTGAGTCATTATCCTTTTCCACCTGTTCTCAAGTAGATGGGTGAGAAACGATAACTCATGTTCAAGCACACAAGTCAGCTCCGCCCATCCTTAGAAAATAAACATTTGATGTCAGTGAAGAAAATAAATGGGCAGGTACTTCGGCCACTTCCTTTCCCTTCACGCATTTCGCTGAGTTTTATCAAAAGTAAAGAGAGTGAATAATGAGCCTGCAGCTGGCAGGCCCTGGGCTGCTCTGGAGGACACGATGCCCACGTGCTCTGTCAGGGCCACACAGCTGTTGGGGCCGGGGTCACTTTGCCTCTGTGATTCACATCCGTGACCGCCTCGGCGTGGCGGGGACGGGATGAGCCTTTGCTGGCCACCCAGCAGCGGGAGAGAGCTTTGCCTTCAGGCATGTCGCAAGGGAGCTTTTATTGGTAAGATCAAAAAGAAATAAGAGGGACTGCCACCCTAAGCTGGGGCTAGCTGAAGTTGTAGAGAAAGAAGAGCATTGATGTGGACTCAGCAAAATTCAATGAGCTTTGCCACAGAGCTGGGAAACGCCATCGGAATCACAGCACAGGAGTGCTCCCTGCCAGCGTGGTCTCACGCCAGCCAGATGATGTGCTGCCCCCCATCAGGACATCTGGCTACTGAGTTCAGGGCTGGGATGATTTCCAGAGCCGTGCCTGGGAGAAGGAGACAGAGCTGCCGAGAGAAACCTCCGCTCCCACGTGGCCTCCCATGTGGGGCTTTAATCCACGAAAGCGGCAGAGGACCAAAGGGAGCAARTTGTCACCAGCCCCTTGGGTGACACCGTGAGCCCCAGTTACATTGAACTTGTTCAGGGCTTGTGCAGGGGGGCAAGCCGGATGGCCACTCGCCGCCACAGCCGGCAAGGGGCTGCCAGCCCGGCTGGGGCGGCTGCGGCGAGGCCGAGAGGCTGGGGTGGCCGTGGCTCAGTAGGTGGCACTCTTCTCTCTGCATCTGTGGGGAGCCGGCATGTCCCGGCCTGAGCTCCATCCCAGGAGCTCCATCCTGCATCCCGGCACCCTGCCCCACAGGGCTCACACCTCCCTGCTCGGAAAACGTCTGATCCACGTGGTGCACGAGCACGTCAACTTGGTCCTGAACATCTCTGARCTGGGAGGTTTCCAAGAGTGGTGGCCTACTTCTGCTCCTTGTGTAGTCAATAGAGGTTTTACTGGTAATATTTCTGCAGGATACCTGGGTCTGGGAATATATCTTGGAATATATGGCTCTGGAAAATGTTATCTCTGAGGAGAAGCCAAGCAGTGTTTAGCTGAATCGCACTTTAGGAACAGCTCTGATAAACAGGCAAGTATCTCGTCAATAAGTTTTCCTCTCAGAAAAACACAGGAGATGTGTTACTGGCCTGGCCTTCTGTAAGAATGTGGTGGGAAGTCCAAGACCTTTGGAGGTCKCCAGGCTCCCACCTTGCCCCAGGCACAGTGACTCACAGCACCAGGGTGGGATTGGGATGGCTCTGACCAGCTGAAGCCTAGAACCTCCAAGGATGCTTGGGGCTCTGTCTCCATRGACCTGTCTCAGGGCAGTGTTTCCCTCATGTCCAACTGGAGCCCTCCTGTTCTCAGGTTGCAACCTTCACCCGTTGTCATGCCCTTTGCACCCTGAGGAGTTTCAGATCTCACCGTCCCAAAGGTGCTGGCCCCAGCTGGCAGAAATAGGTCACAGATGGTAAAGGGCTCTTTTTCATTTTGTCACGGTCACCAGGAGTTCAGCGCCATTTCTGGGGAAATGCTTTCAGAAAAGGCTTCAAAGCGGCATCGGCTTGTGCCAGACTGCTCATTTCTGTTTAAAGAAGCGGGAGGGGCAAGAGGAAGTCAGTTAAATGCTTTGACAAATTTGAAACATGCTGAGCCAAATCCCTTGCTTGTGTCAGTCGGTGAAATGGAGCCATTGGTTTGAGATGTGAGGAGAGAGGGAATGTGTAGTGAGTCAGGGGTTGGATATGCCATGTTTGGTTTCCAAACAGTGCAGGTAACACAGCCAATTACACTCAGGTCATTCAACTTTTCCCCTGCTGTAAGCTTCTATTCTCAACTGCTAAGGAGTTTGCCAAGCATGGCTGCTTGGGCTGAAATTTTCAGTGCTACCTATGTTCTTCAGGCTAAATTAAAACAATCAGTCTTGGAAATGCCAGGGTACATGCTTCATTTTGATAGAAGCAAAAAGGAGAAAATTATGTGGAGAAGCTGTAGTCCCATCACTTACCTTGAAACTGTCAGGTGAGCAGCGAGGAAAACTTCTCATGAACATGTCTTTGGGCATTTTCACAAAACAAACTTAGTTTGGTCTTGCTGCCTTCTGTAGCTTTGGAAAAGGTCTATTCACACACAGTCAGTCTCTGTTTGGGCCTGAATGGAGGTCATGGGAAGGAAGCTCAAGTCTGAGCTGGAAAGGAAAGTGCCAGCCCTAGGTTGCCCCCAAATGATGACAGAGCCATAGGCCTAGAGCTCTCTGGCTGTTGTGTCTTCATGCTGCTCTGAGCATACTCTGTCTCCAGGCTGCAGCAGATGAGCAGGATTTGTCATCTCTCTGCTGTAGATGCAATGCCTAAAGGCATGGAAAACAAGAGGAAAAGCAACAGTCGGGGGAAAAAAAAAGGTCATTTCTCACTTAAGTAACATCTGTATCATTGTGCATATGCGTAAAGGGGCCGACCTAAGTTTCCCTGGGCATTCTGTCATAGGTTAATGTCCAACTGCCTCATTTGGCAACTTCATTCATAGAGCACTTGAACTTTGCTTCCTAAGATTCACCAATTCCAGGGCACTGAGCAGGGAACCTGGCATGACCCTGAAGGCTGAAGGTGGCCCTGGTAGCTGCACATCCTTCTTTGGTGTGTGTAGAAGAGGGGAGAAGGTTCGCTGGCTGAGCAGCCTGGATCACAGCCACCTCAAACAAAGGCTCTGACAGCTTCCTGAGCTGTAAATAGCATTCCAGCCCCTGCCAATGAAAAGGGAAAGTCTTGGGCCCAGCATCTTTTTACACGGCTATCTCTCCCTCTTCTGCTTCCTCAGTCTAGTGTGTTTCTGCTTTGCAGATGAATCYGGGGGGGATTCGCCCCCTTGGCCCCTTGGGCATAGAACTTGAAGCAAGACACATGCATGGGGCTCTTCACATGCAAATCCTTGGGGCCAAACCTTTCCAGGGCTTATAGAGGTGAACAGACCACAGCCTCCCTCGTTGGGCCCGACGGGATGCCCTCCCAAGCTGCCTGCTCCTTTCTTGGAGGGGCTACTTGCTTCGTCCTCAAGATGAGCACTTTCCAACCTGCTGCCCTATTTTTTCTCACCTAAACCTACGTCTGCTTCGAGCTTTCTTACACAACAGCTGAGCAGACTTGGCTGGGGCCTGACACGCTCTGCTAAGGGCTACCGAGGCAGTTAGGAGCCAAAGTGCCCCCGAGGAGCACATTTGCCTGCGCCTGGACGCATGCCCACCCTCCTCTCCGCCACTTACTCAGTCATTACTCATGTGCTGCTCGAGCAAACGCACACGGGCCGAGGCTCCGGCTGACGGCTGCAGGAGCTGGCAAGAAATATTCCTGCCATTTCCTCCGCGCTTCCTCTGCGGGCGGCCTGCCGGGGAAGGGAAGGCAGAGCAAAGGGCGCCGCGGCCAGACGGGCGCGCCCGTGCAATAAACACCTGGCCTCTCTGTGGAGGGCCCGGCCCATGGCAACTCGTGCAATGTTTCCCCTCCATCGCTAAGCTCCGGCACGGGCACCGGCGAGGTGGCAGGTGCAGGCGGCAGCCCCGCCGCCGCACTCGGCGCTTGAACCAACCAACCTTGCAGGTGCCATAATAGCGGTGACGTTTTCCTGACCTCCCCAGACCCCTGCCTGCCTCGCCGGGGGCTGCCGGCGACCGTTAGAGTCGTTGGAGCCGTTGGGGGCTGGAGCGGGGGGGGCGGCAGGTGCGCGCGCCCCGCCCCGCCCCGCCCGTACCTGCCGCCCCGCCCCGCCCCGCTGACGCGCGGGGCCGGCGGCGGCGGGCGCCTATAAAGCGGGCGGCGGCGGCGGGCGGCTCCCCATGGAGCGCCGCGCACCGTTCCCCACCGCCGTCGCCACGCGCCCTTCGCCGTTGCCGCCGCCCGCCCGCCCCTGCCAATGCGCGCCGTGGCGCTGCTCGCCGCGCTGGCCGCGCTCGCAGGTGCGTGAGGGGCGCGCGGCGGTTGGCGGCCGTTGGCGTCGCTCGTGTGTGTGTGTGTGTATCGAGGTGGGGGGGGGGGCGGCGGCCGTTGGTCCGCGCGGCGGCCGTTGGTCCGCGCGGCGGCCGTTGGTCCGCGCGGCGGCTCGTGCCCCCTGCCCACGGCGCCGTTTTCCCCCCCGCTTGCCCCGCAGCGTGCCGCCTCGCCGCCGCCGCCAACGCCACGGAGCCGCAGCGGTCCCGTGCGCCCGCGCCCCGGCAGCCGCCCGCCCGCCGCGGCGAGCCCGTCCCCGGCGCCGAGGACGAGGAGGACGAGGAGGAGTACGAGGAGGCGGCACCCGTGCATCAGTACCTCGTGGACGACCTGATCCGAGGTGAGCCGGCCGAGGTGTGCGCCCTTCTCTACCTGTGGGCCGGTGTCTTCCTGCGCTAGGTCTGCTGGCAGGCTGCTCCTTCTGGCCTGTTGTGTATGGTGGAGCAGGAGAGCCTCCTTTCTTGGAGGTGTTGTGTTAAATMTGTGATGGTGGGGATGGAAACGTAATGCGGGTAAAGCTAGAGTGTGTGGAAGGTGAGCCCTGCTGGCAGCAGGGATGTGGTGGGCACTGCTACCAGCCTGGTACGGAGGCATCGTTGGGATTGATGGGTACTGCTTGCCACTTAATGTGAACTTCTGATCCCGTTGCCTCTCCTGCACCAAGGCTTTTCTGGGTGTTTTCTTGTCTCTGTCTAGTTGGAGTTGAAGTAAACTAAAGCTTTTTAAGGGCAGACAGACAAGCCCCMTGAGTGTTTACAGAGGTGTTTTTTACAGAAGTATCTATCACAGCATTATTTAGGTAAAACTACAGTGTMATGGCTTTTAGGAGAACCTATTGTGAACTAGCCACTTGTAAAATCTTGGGAGATGCAAATGGCCCAGTTAATGTGGGATATATGGACTTCTGTACCTCTGACCCCAAGTACTGTTATTTAAGAAACCAAAAGAAACTGTATGCAGTGAGGCTGAAGTACCTATAAATGACTTGCAGATGAGCAGATGTACACAGTCTGATACAATGGAYATCCAGGATGGTATCTGGCTGCTGTCTGTTGCTGCAGAAATACCCCATATCTCAATGAAGGCCAAAGAGCTCTYGAGTGTTTGAGGGAGCGTGAGGGAGATGGGCATTCTGAGGTGCTCAGACTTGTGCTGAAGTTTTCAAAGAGGTCAGGGAAGATGGGAATGCCAGGTCTTGAGCRGTTTGGTTGGTAAAACTACTGGCTTGGTAACTTAAGTGTTGTATAACTGCTTAGAAAGCAGAGTTGTTAACCAAGGTGGTTGGTTTGTAGACCAGCTCTTCTACTTGGCATGAGGTTTATCTGTGAAGCCTTCAAGCTGTTATGGTTCAGTTGAGGATGGCTTTTCTTGGTAGCTTGCAAACAGGGGCACTGGGATCAAACTAATAGGCTGACTATTGAAGGAGGGTGAATGTCAACTATATGTCAAGTCTAAATGGACAAAGCAGGGGTCTTAGTAGTCAGCAGTAAGTTCCTATATCTAGCATAGAAAATTTGACTGCAGGAACAGTGTTCCTCATTTGCATATTAATGTAACTTATACCATTCTAATCAGACCTTTCGTTGCTGAAGGCATTTTTGCTTTTAAGTAACTTCAAGCCAGGCTTGTTGCTCTGGAACTTAAAATGATGGTCTGTCTAGACGACAGCCAGCTACACCTTGTTTATTGTACAGGATCTCTTGCCACTAGAAATACAGGGTTACAAGGTAGTCAGATGAGTTGCATCCTATTGTGGTGATTGCCTATATGCATAGTGCTTTGGGGGAAAACAATAATCTAGGAGTTGCTTTGATTTTTTTTTTGGTCTGCACAGCGTAATATAAAAGTAACCAGCTTGGAAGAATACTGCTAACAGTAGTAATGTAACTGAGCTGCTGAAATACCTTTGATTAACTGTTACTTCTGTCCTATTCCTCAACAAAAAGACCTTGCACTGAGAGTACTTTATTTATGACTAGCAGTAAAAGGAGGGTTTGTGAAGAGAACTAATGTTTTACTAGCTTGCTATATGATCGTCTTGTTAGCTTTGAGTGCTGTTAGGTGGCTGTGGTGCTGAAGACGCTTAGTTTTAAGCTGGCTTTAGCCTGTCCTTGAAGCAAAAGGAAAAGTGCCTGTGCTTTAAATTCACAGCTACTAATCACCAGTATTTGAAGCCACACTCTTCCAAAGGCCAGCTGTAATTGAGATAATGAGGGGCAGCAAGTGGCAGAGCAGTCTGTCTCTTGTGGAATACGCAGCTTTCATTCCTTCACGAGGCTTGGCATCTCTCTCTCTCAAAGTAGGAGAACTGGAAACCAATGATCTCCTTGTCTCCTGAAGACAGCACTGCAGGGTATTTAGGAGGAACAAGTATGCTAACTGGGGTTGCAGGCTGTCTCGCCTGCACAGGGCCCAGGACTATCTAGCAGCTTGAACTGCCTTTCATCAGTGATGCAAATAGTTGAAAGCGTTAGAGGTTTTGCCTTTTATTTGAGTCCATATAAAACTACTGGATGGCTTTGCTCAATGTGAATTCATTATGTGCTTTCTGGGTCTTCGCTTGAGTCTGTGCAACTTCACTCAACCACTTGATCCACATGGAATGCTGCAGTCCTTGATGTCTGCTCTTGCTCTGACAGCCTTCTCAGCCCATCTTTGTGTGCTGCTGTCTGCATTGCTCAGGACTTAATGGTGGCAGAATTTAGTTTAATAGTGAGCCTATTAAGTTATTGCTCTTATGCAGGATGCAAAATGTGTATCAGTGTGCTCATTTGCATCCTATATTTCCTAATATCTTTTTGCCTATAGCATCCTCCAAATCCAATTATTCCCTATTAGCAGAAACTAGCTGTTCAGCTTTGCTAGACTGAATCGTCTTGTCCTTTTTTCAGTTGAACCTGTGGTTAAGCCCAAGCCAACAAAGAGGGGGGGTGAGAAGAATGCTGGCAAATCAAGAAGGAAGAAAAACAAGGGGAAAAACAAAAAGAAAGGGACTCCATGTGAAATGGAATACAAAAACTTTTGCATCCATGGTGAATGCATATACCTAGAACATCTCCAAATGGTGACCTGCAAGTAAGTTGAAAGTACCTTGTGAGTTACATGTGGTTTGCATGAGCTGGTATCAAATGAGGGCTTGGAGGAAAAAAATCCATGTCAACTTGGCATAGCTCCATCTCCTGCAGTATTTTGACTGAGAATCTTTCTGCCATGTAAATTAAGTGATGATGGAATCTGAGATGCATAACAAGCCACTGAACTCATCAGTTGGTCATAAACTCAAACCAAAAGAATGAAAAGGTGTGTCTTCCTGGAACATCACGCCCAAACTAATCTTGACTTGTTGAAATGCTGACAAACCTTGGGCTGGAGCAGTGACTGCATTTCATGAACAGGCTCTAAAGCTAGCATCTAGAGGTTCATGTGAAACTCGAGATCTCTAAATCGAGTGTGTGTGTGGGTGTGTGGGTGTCCTTGACTCCAGAGAGCATCAGAGTTGATAAGAACTTGTGTTGTTTGCTTTCAGGTGTCATCAGGATTTCTTTGGTGAGCGCTGTGGTGAACAGTTCATGAAGACTCAAAGGAAGAATGATGTGGCAGACTACTCAAAGACTGTGTTGGTGGTGGTAGCTGTTCTGCTCTCGGGCATCAGCTTCGTTACTGTACTCATCATTGTGATAGTTCAGTAAGTATTGTTGTTTAGTGTTTGTGTAGCTTGAGGAGGGCTTGTGTCCAGTAATGCCAAATGCACATGGCTTGTCTGAGTTACCTATGCAGAAGACATCCACAAGGGTCAAGTTCCTTTTCCAGCTTAAATAAGCCTTGAGGGTGGAAGTGAGGTGTAAGAAATGAATATTCACTTAGCTTTTTTCATGACTGAATGTGGGCAGCCTGTGACCCACATCATGTAAAATCAAAGCTTTTCCGTTGCTGGTGCAGTCAAGATAACTGCCATCTTCCAGGACCTCAGCAGGAAGTGCAAGGGGAATGTGAATGCTGAGGCAGTGCTTTCCCTAAAGCTTAAGGAGAAGCAGCCTGTGAGGAGTAACTTAACTGGCTCTTGCACTGCTCTTCTCCAGCATAGTATGGCTATGCAGCTGGAGGACAGCACACCAAGCTCCAGCACTCTGTTTATTCATGGAGCTTGCTGAGCTTAGTTCTATGGGGGCAGAGCCAAGTAGGGAGACAGTACTGGTAGTACAAAATGCTGCTCTACTTGCTTATAAGGGGAAGGAAGCAAAAATTTGAGAATAACAAACTGCTGGCAGTGCAGCATGGCAGGTAACTGGCATCCAGGCTCTTCCTGCAAATGCTCTAAAAAAGCAGGTCTGTGTGGATACGTCAAGCCTTGCATAAAGTTGTTTGCCTTCTACCTGGTACAAGCCATCTGGAGCTACTTGACTTGGCTGCCTGTGGCTCTGCTCCTTGTCAGTGTGTTCACCAGCACTTGGGTGGATGCTGCTGGAGCCTGCTCCTGAAGGGTGCCTTGAGTGCTATCTGTTATAGGAATAATCCTCTCGTTCTCACCCTGCTGTATTAGAGTGTAGGATGATGGAGATGAAACTCAGAACTCCAGTCTAATTTTAGATTTTGATCTAATTTTACTTCTTAGCCAAGTAAATGAACTGAACTAGGTGCATTCTGTACCTTTGAGGAAACAAGATGCATGTTTGTCGCTTCACTGTTGCCTCATAGTTAGACCTGAACTTGAGGGGTGCTGTAAAGAACATTGACTGGGTCAATGCTTTTCAATGCTTTTCTGTGCTCATTGCTATTAGAAGCAATCAGTTTCTTAGTGCCCTGAGGAAAAATAAAACATTATTATTATGGCCTACAGTTATCCAGTGGGGTTAAATTGAATTCAAGGTTTGAAATCTCATAAGCTTAAATCATGATGCTCATACATCTGTGCTTTCATCTAAGGAAGCTAGGTGGTCCTTCTGGAACACTAACTTGATAAATGTTGAGAAGCTGGGAGAAACTCAGTAAGCAGCTTTTGGCATGTTAAAGGGACACATGCACTTGAAGGTTCCTGCAGCAAGCAGGGACCTGCTTGAGGAAGGAAGAAGCCTGTCTGGTCTTGGAAACTGGTTGCTAAAGCTAATAAATCTGGCTCAGCAGGGCTGCTCTGTGCCCTAGAAAGTCTCCTGGTCCTTGGCTCGGCTTTAGCAACATTGTCTCTTGCTACTTCATCAGACTTGAACCAGGAAGCCCCAGCTGTGTGTGGTTAAACTACCTGTGCCTAGCTCAGGGATTCCTTGATGTTACTGTCAAATACTGCTTGCTGCCAAATGTTTGAGAAGCTGTCTTGCTTGCAACTTCCTTGTGCTGAAATGCTGCTTGAGGATTCAAAGAACAGGAGCTTTAACTCTGCAGAGAATGTGTGGGCTGCTGACAAGAGATTGTATGTCTAAGTTGAGAATGACTTCTTACGTGCCCTATTCCACAGGGTCAGGAAAAAGTGTCCTCAGTATGAAGAAAAAGAAGAAAGGAAAAAACTTCGACAAGAAAACAGAAATGGTCATGTTGGTGTGTAAATGGGGAGAGAGCAGGTATGAAGGCTGACCTGCTGCTCCTTTAAGTCTTCCCAGATGGGTGTTTTGCATGAGAAATTCATGCCTGCTTTGCAAAACTATTAACTTCTGCTTGACTTTAGTGCCTTGAAATGTGAAGATTACATATAAAAACCTGGTAGCTTTCTGGGTTTCCAGAAACCACTTGATAAAAAGAAAGCTRTACTGAGATCAGTAGAGTTCCTTTTGAAAAACAACTACTCTGAGCAGAGTTAGTAGAGCTCAAGAAACCACAGTGAGCTTCACATCAGAGGAGATGGTGCAACAGCCAGAAGTACCGAGCTCCTTGGCCTCTTTTTTCCTTTTTTTTCTCTCCTTGCAGAAAGTCTGCAAGGCTCAGAGGCTATAGGCAAAGATAAATGCAAACTCAGGGAGTGCTGTGCATAGCCCCTCAACCATATTCTATACTCAGCACACAGCTTAGTGCAAAAACTCCTTGATCTGCAGATCCCTGTTGGGAGAAATATGCCTTTCAGTGCAGGAGTAAGTTGGCATCTTTCTTCCTAGCTAAATCCTTAGTGCAGGAAAAGGACTCGTAGTGAGCAGGAATCTACTACAGACTGAAAGAGCTAGAAAAGGTCCTCAGGAAAAATACTGACTTGCAGTTCTTCTGATTTTCCTTGTATCCACTACAAAGCTTTGCTTCATGCAGTAATGCTTGCTGTGCCTTCTCAACTTGTCTGAAGCTAAAGAATTTTGCTTGTAGTGAAGTTTCCCTCTGTGTGCACATCTATACCTGTGTGCTTTGCATGCAGCTTGACCTAGTTCTGGTGCTGACTGCTCATGTCTTGGGTCATGACTAACGTGCCTGGTCTGCCCCTTACAGAACAATTCTTATGTGGCCACTGCCAAGCTGCAGGGTACCTGTGGCTACCTGACACATCCACCTGGACACTGTGGGCTGGAGTTGTTGCCACTAAGCCCTGATTCATCCAGACAGAGGCTGCTGCAAGTAGATGTCCAACATGCCACTTGCTACTGAATAACTTTCTGGGGAAGACAATTACTGCTACATCTTGGCGCAAAAATATGCAAGGAGCTACCGATATCGGGTAGAGGACTTGCTATCAAGACGTGCTAGAAACTACTGCTACTGAGCCCTCTCTGTTCAGTGCTGGAACTTGAGTTTCTGCTGTTACATGGATGGACTTTATTCTGGTTGCACGTCTCCTTTGGCACCTTTAAGTGCATGGGAGATGCTTACTGTGACTTTCAGGAATGTGCAAGGTGGTGGGGAGAACCTCCTCTTCCCTCTCCCTGGAGTTAGTAAGCTCTGGATGTCTTTTGCCACTAAACCTTGGTGGGCAAACCTAATTCTGCTTTTGCTCAGCTCCCTGCTGGTATCAGCTTCAAAGAACTTCATCTCTAGTTATGACTTGAAGGGTGTTGGTGACAGATCTTTGCCCACCACACCTGGGTTTAGTTACTGTATGTGTGGAAAGTAATCTCTCTGAAAACAGTAGGACTTATTGATGAGTGAAGCTATGTGTTTGCCTGTGTGCTCATCTGAGTTAAAACTGCTCTCYGCAGGATGCTGAGACCTTAAATATAAAATCTGAAGCCTTATATCTGAAGAAAAATAATCCATACTCAAACAAGCTCGTAAGCCGGGACACTAGTGTTAAAGCTTCTAAGAATTAGGTGTGAACACAAAGGGACTTGTGTTATCCAGATACGCCAAGCCGCTTGGAGCGGCGCTGAAGAGAAAACTTGGAATCCAGTTCAACTGAACTTGAATAAGAACCTGTTTCTCCAAAGAACTAAATSGATGTACTCTCTGCAAGCAGTGCTCTGTGCTCTACCTTCTGGTGCAAAGAACCCAACTTACCTCAGACCTGTCTGGCCTAAGTGTCCATTGTTTCTTGAACTGTATGTGCCTTCTTGAGCACCAACTATAATTTCAGTTTCTTTTCGGAAGAATGTCTTCTGTTTAAACAGAGCTGAATTCTGCTGTTAGCAGAGCAACACCATTAAATGTCAAGTCATATCTGGAAATGTGTAAATATTTATTACTGTATTTAATATTTAATGTTTCTGTTAAAATTATTTATTTTATAATTAAACTTTTTACATAACCTTTGCATGATTTCTTTTCTTGCACTTAATGATACTTTCAAATATCTCCAAGTAGAGATGTGTTTCTTCCCTAGGCCGAACTTGAAACACTCTTCRGAGTCCAGAACAGGGTTGGGAACAACTCTACCATGGTGTCAAGTATGACAGCTCAGTAGTGTACACACAGGTGTGAGCTGTTTGTAAACAGCAATTTGCAAATGGAAGACCTGTTTGAGTAGTGAGTCCATTTAATTGAATTACAGAATGATCTTCAAATTACTGGACTAGAGGGGCCAATTGAGTTGGTGCTTGGGAAGCCAAGTCTTAAGCAGAAGTTGGAACAAATGACTAGCCCTTTGCAGTAGAGTGGAAAGCTGGGAATCTTGAGCAGCCAAGTCTTTCATCTTTGTAGTCAGAATGAATTTGAATGGCAGCTTCAAACCTCATCTTACATAAATGAGGAAAAGCAGAGTTGCTTCAGGCTCATGACTCCCTATATATAAAGGAAACCTTGGCCTGTGCAGTCCACCTTTGATTTCCCTAGGTAACTAGTAATTTAACTCTATATTGGTGTTCTTTCTCAGAACCTCCAAGAGCAACCTGGACTGTGAGATCAGTTTTCCAAATGTAAGCATTAAAGTGATGAGATCTATAAATCCATGTTCGAGGGTTTATTATGATTTTTTTATTTTCCTGTGATCCCGAGTCTGAGACCAACCTTTTTGCAGTTGAGGTGCAGGTAAATGTATTGCAACATCACTTGGGAATATTGCAGTACTTCATTCCAGGGAACTTGCTTCATTACCAAAGTAAATAGTGCTTGTCCAAGTGGCTTTTCCACAGACATTTGCTATTAGAGCTCTGGCAAGAAAAGCTGTTTCTATAAGTTGTGCCAATGTTTTTGCTTTGGAGTAAACAGGCTCAATCTCGGTGGTGGCTGAGGCATACCTTAGTGAGGCTTAAAATGGATTATAGCTCTCACTTGAAAGCAACGAGACTCTCCTTCCAGAAACTCTTCAGTCTCTAGTTCTCTCTAGAGTAAGTTATTCTTTTGCTTCATGTGCTAGACAGGTTATACCACAGTGTTTTGATGTAACTGAGATGTAAGCTGTCTTCCTATTTCCCTCTTTCTCTAACTGTAAAGCCCAACGGAATTGGTGTTATCCAGTCAATAGCATTTTTCATACTCCTATGATTAGTGAGTGGACTGGAACACATCTCGCCGTAATATATGCAGTTAGATGCCACACTGTGCCATTTCCAGGAGACTGCATGCGGGAAGGCTTGAGTTTTAGTTGAGATTGTCCTGTTTCAAACCCAAACTCACRTTGGTAATCACATAGGAAAGTCATCAAATACATGTACTGCCCTAACTAAAAGTGTCGAAATGATAGAGGAGAGATTTCTGACATGTGTCCTTCTGTAGGCTTTCGAGTTAAAGTCCAATTTTTCACAAAGGCAACCAGCAACATTTTCTTGTAGGAAACTGGCTATGGTTTAGCCCCCTTCCAGCATTGCTATAGCTGAGCTCCTCTGCACCTGTGGAGATATGGTGGTGACTGCTGYACTGTGCATGTGTCTGTTAACCCTTGTCTTGTGCTTGTGAGGGAGCTCCCCATGTTTCCCGGGATTGACCTCTGAGCACTGTGAAATGTGTCCCATTTTTGCTGAAAGATTTCTAAGAGATTKACTTCAAAGAATAGAAGGGGATTTGCACTGCTTGGGTATGACACAGTTCTATCTTCAGAGCTGTGCCATAGCCTTACAGTTAAAGGAAATTCTAAGAACTATGTTGTTAATAGCTTACAGTAAATAACTTTATTTCTAAGAGAGTAGAAATAATGGTTTTCTACTTGGACTATAGCCCTGAGTAATAACAACTTGTTACTACCTTCCAAATGAGAATCTGATTCCAAAGCAACATCAAGACCTACTGTGTCTGCTGGGTTGCTTTACAAACAAAAGCTGATGAATGGGACTATTGTGCCTGGTGGTGTTTTGCTGTCCAAGGATGCAATGCTCCAGAGAGCATTGGTGGTCCTGCACAGCCAGGTCTGCTTTCCATGTTATTCATCTTCTAGTTCTTCATCTGCTCCTCTGGCCCTGAAAATACCATAGTTCTACTAAGCATACTTGAATTTGGGGTTCCATATCTTATTAGTAAATTTAGCCTCCTTTTTTCAGTCTTCCACTGGTCATGTTACTTGAACGGTAGAGTTTTTCCTTACTTATAACCTGTAGCTACTTCTGCTGAGACCTGGAAAGATAGCTTGGTGTCTCTTCGGCAATTTTCTGCCCACATAGCTGATTTTGCAAGGTGTGTTCAGTACCCAGCTCCGTGTCCAGAATTCCAATAGTGTGAGGGTAATGTGTGTTTGCATATTTCTTTCCTGTTTCCTATGTGTTTTGATTTCAGCAATTTTTGAATTGAAACAAATCACAGAATCAAAACCACCACCAATAAAAAACTACTCCTTACGCTTCTTTCTCTTCTGTGAATGTTGTGGCATTTTTGCATGTTTTATGGTAGTCTATAACCAGCATAGTTTCCTGTCCGCTTTGAAACTTTCCTTTCCTCTTCCTACTCTGCCTCCAGTAACCTGCTTCAAACTGAGAGTGCTATAGACACATTATTCTCAATCTCAGCCTTATGGATATTATTGGATGTCCAATTATTCTCACTGGCAGTGAAAATGTAAAGTATAGTATGATTTTTTCCTGCTGCTTGTATAGCTAAATTCAGATACACATAAGCATCCATAAAGCTGTTTGTGTTGACGTTTGCTGACAGTTGCTGCAGCCTTTGTGCATGCCAAATCCTTCAGTGAACTACTTGCACAAGCATCTGGAAGCACAGTTGTTAACAAGGACAAACGAGCTCCATCCTTTATAGGAAGAGGCTTTCTGGAGCTGCTAACGGTCCTGTGCAGCCATGTTGCTCCCGAGGAGCTTGGGAATGTGGTTCCCAGTTCTTGGCAACCTGACAGCAGTAAGCCAGTGTGCTCATGGAGCAAGGAGCTGCTGCCTGTTTTGGCGACGCAGCTGCTTCACCTGAGATGGATCGGTGGACAGGAGGATCAGGCAGCCTTTAGCAAGCAAACCCTGATTCCTCTTCCTCTTGTGAACCAAGCTGCACATACCTATCGTTCCTCTGCTGGTTACACCTTCCTTAAGCGAGTTATCGTCATTCGCTGCAGGTCTGGCTTTGTCCGGGACTCGTGAGATTGCTCGACTGAGACAGCTACGCCTGCAAATGTTAGAGGGAAACGGCTATTGTTTGCTTGCTGTGGATTTAGGCATGCAGCCAAGGAGGCAGCATTTGTACCTTCTTTAACCAAGGTGGCAGATGTTGAGAAAAAAAAAAAAAAAAAAAAAAAAAAAGATTTCAAATGTTTTCTCAGTAAGAAGAGGGGCAAATTTTCTTTTAAACAAAAGAATTCATCTTGAACACATTTTGCCATGTATAACTAAAAAAAAAATAAAGAGGCTGTTCATCTTAGTGCTTTTTGGCTTAAAAATTGCAGCCTGATCTCTTTGCTCCTGTTGGGGCCAAGGGCAGGATTCTATGGGCCGAGTGCTTTCCCTCTAGTGCGACGTTTCTCGTGTGCCTCAGCATACGTGTGTGGCCTTCATTCCAGTAGCACTCATGCTCGCTCAGATAACACTATCGTTGCTGCTAACTGCTTTGGATTCTTGCCTACAGATAGGTTGGTCTAGGCTTTGAAAAATAGCTTCCTTTTTGGAGTGCGGTTTTCCTTACACAGCTGCTGATGAGTTCATATTTGGGTACCAGATGGCAGTCTCTTTGAGATCAAATTAGTTCATGGGTGGTGCTGGAAACCTGCTAGTTTCACAGAAGATAAATAAGGAAATGTTTCAGCATCTGCTGTGTTCCTTAACTGTAGAAAGACAATCCCTTGAGCACTGCAGGTAACTAGCATAAGAACAGCAGAAACAAAAATGACACTTTGGTGTCTCAAGCAGTGAGTGTGTTTGGAAATATCTCTATTCRCATGTCCACCTGTATGACTCCTTTCAGTGCCTCAGAAACTGTCCAAATCATATAACATGTTGTCAGAGCTGCATTCCACTCCTGGTTTCACAGCCGGGCTGATGAGGTGACTTGTTTTTGGTCAAACAAGAACTGAACCTGGTAGCTCTCCTAAGGTTTAGCCACAAGACTTCCCTTCCTCTTGCATCGTTTGCCCTCACATTTCTAARCATGTGATTTACATTCAGAACTAATTAAAGGTGCACACATGAAATGCAGGTAGAAAGAGTTGCAAATGAAACTTTGATATATAATTTTCATAGGTACAGAGGAGCTGTGGCTCCCGTTGCTATCTGTCTGCATTGCTTTCATACACTATCTACCTCTGTGGATTAGGCTCCATCCAACTCAAGTTGCTTTCCTCTCTTATGCCCTGAGACAATTACTGTCAGGATGAAAGGCAAACACCTCCTGGGTGGAGTGGGGCAGAGCAAAACCAAACCAGGGCTTAGGGCAACAAATGTCCTCYCAGGTCTTAGTTCCTCTCATTTATGATGAAAGCTTTTCAAGAACACGAACGGTAGCTATTTGTTTTAA